ATCCTAAACTTAGATTGGTCAGTTTCTGCTTTGTATTATGTTTCATGTAGAGCTTCCTCTGAATTCCCCAGGTAGTGACCACGAGTTGATGAGTCGCTGACCAAAATTTGTTTGTAAAATTGGTTCTGGATGGACCCTCCAAAATAGATATCACCTTGCCATAAATCACTTGTCTGTTTGGAACCAAAAGGGCATTAACTCGTATGCTTTAAAAAAAGAGTTAATATGTTCTTCTGGCCCTGAACATATGATATGATTTGCAAATACAGTAAAACCTCCTTTAGTGACCACCTGTACGGAAAGACCACCTGTCTCTTCAAAGACCACGTTTTTTGTTTCCCTTGAAAATGGTTTCTCATTGAAACATGTACTAAAGGAACCTGTACATAAAGACCACCTGCCTGTAAAGACCACCTTTCTTGTCTCCCTTGGTTGGTCATTATAGACAGGTTTCACTGTATATATTGGCATGTACTTATGATCTTGTGTGTGTGATGTCCTGTGTTTTGATTGCTACAAGTCATGTGCCTTAATTAGACTGACTGGGAAAAAATGAAATGGAGACAAACTAGAGAGGTATAGACAGGGTGGATACCAGAAAAATTGGCAATAGACCAAAGAAATTGAGGTGTTTTGACAAACTTCACACAACAATGACGCAGAAAAACAATCTGGTTACCCAAGAATAGAAAGGATGTTTTTAGAACCTTCAAGGTAGGATACATTTCCACTCCATTTAATGATGTTTAAAGGCAGAAGGGCGCTAGTTTTGTGTAAAGGATATGAGTTAATGTCCATCTTGCTCTATAGACTCTCAGGATATGATGTACTTTACTTCAATTCAGCCACAGGTATCCAATTGTCTGTTTGGAGCTGAAAGGGCGTTAACCCATATACTGTAACATGGAGTCAATGCCCTTCTGGCTCCAAACAGATGATTAATATTCTGGGACCGTAGTCTTTAAAGGTAAAGACCAGTATTGGAAACGCCCTAATTTCAACAAATGAAATGGAAGCTCTCATTACCAATCATGTGAAAGAATATGTTTTGACTAATACATGATAATAAGAAATTTGCCGGGGAAACCGCCTACTAATTCATATATTTGGTAAATTTGTTTCTCTCATGGTCTGTGAGAGATATAGGGTAGTCCCATATACATCTTTCTGTGTATAGTGCTTGTAACTTTACGAAGAACGGGCCAAATTTCTTATCATTTTGATGATTCCAGAACCTTGCAGATGCTAGATGCTAGATGATCAACCTTTTCTGATCGATTCCACAACGTTTCTTTCACAATGAAATCGCATGAACATAACTGGTCTTTACCTTTAAAATGATGTTATCTTTCGTGTTTAAGGAAATATGATGACGAATGTCATAACAAACTCAAATTGCGCAGAACTAACATTTACCATTGGTGCTTGCAGCAAACTGATAAACCTTCTTTTGTTGACCGACATTTTCAAAAATTCCTTTGCAGAACAGAATGTATGTAAAAGTGAAAAGCATGGAGTAAGATTTTCTGTAATCATCAAAAACATTCAAGTTCATACGAGCAAAATTAAGAACAGTTTTCATCTTCAGTTTGGGTTGGGGGGAGGGGGGTATATAATTGGGGAGTCACTGGCCATACAATATTCACTGATGTGCATTACCACGGTTACTGGTAACTTCAGTAAAATAGGAGAAAAAATTATTTGAAATAAAATTGCTTACCTGTAGGTGTTTAAATGTTGGTATGAAGATGACATCAAATTGGGTAGCGCCAGAGATAATAGTACATGAAAACAAGAACAAAATAGAACATTTCATTAGATTTGTAAAATGATTATTTGTATGTAAGATTGGACAGAATTCAGTATCACATCATTTTAACTGTAAAATCGATCTATAAAGACAAATATTAGTTTACAAAGAGTGTTGCAAATCATCAAATTATAAAGTAAAGTGTGAAGTTCGGAAATGCTTTCTTGAGATGATACCATGAAAATGTATTATTGAATAAAAAATATTTCTCCTTATATGAGTAAAACATTCTGTCTTTGTCTCCCGCTCTAAATCTCCCCCATTAGAGAGAAGCTCGCGAGATACATCACAGAGTTGCCAATTCGTGTTTCACAGTGATGGCAACTTCAAATTCATAACTTCTTCTTTTTTTCAATCAAATATTGCTCAAACATTTACTAATTACTTTCTCTCACTTTCCTGCTTTAATTCAAACCAACTGAATATATTCATGGGTCACTGATGGCAACTTCAAATTCATAAATTTCCTTTTTATACTCAAATATTGCTCAAACATGCATACACTTATTTCTTTCTCTCATTTTTCTACTTTTACTAAAACCAACAGGGTGGACTTCCCCTTGAATGTTCTTCTGGCTCTCCTAACTTTCACAGTTCAGGAGTTGTATATAGACCAAGAATGTGGAATACAATACTATAGAGCTCACACCCTCAGAACATTCCAATAATCTCCAGGATTTGACGGGGGTGTGGACAACATTCTGTTCAACTAGAAATCTGTCACATTGAATTACATTTCATCAACATCACCTCCGACAAAAAACATGGCGAACCATCGTCAACTTGACGCTTTCTTCTCCCTCCCAAAGTCCCGGTGGAAATCAAAGATATATATTGTAAACCCCCGAGGGTGGGACTTTGGAGACTCTGAAACATACTTCAGACATTGATACATTCGCCTGATGTTCAGCAAACTATTTTTTAATAAAATTTGGCAAAAAATATGGATGCAAAAAGTCCATGTTGCAAACTTGGAATGGTAATGTAATGGTAGATAACATGATAAACTGCATGTGGTACAAATTGAAATTGTATTTCATTTGCAAATAAAGTATTAACTAAGAAAATTTAATTCATGTACCACCCTAGCAAGGAGTATAGCTTTCAAAAATATTAAGAGGACAATTACATAATTTCCTTTGTTAAGGGAAAACTCTAATTTGAGCTTTGCTATTTAAAATTTCACTGATCTCTTGGGAATTTAGGTTTTGAACGAGTTAAGGAAACATGACGTCTTCAAAATTAGGATCATTTCCTTCAAGATATCTGACATATCTCCTATAGCTAGCATAAGGTAATGATTGTGACTCATGCTCATAAACACAACCTCCAAACGTTTAATGTGGTCACATCTTTATACCATCTATAATGGTGAAATCGCAAATTACAACGGCATGCATAGTTTTCTCAGGCACGCAGCAATGAGGCAATGTAGTATTTAAATAAGAATAAGGCATACATACAGCCCCTTAGTTGGTACATTTTGCTCTTGAGTGAATTAATATACATTTCTACAGGCTTGTTCAGCATGTCCCCCCCCCCCCCTCCCCCTCCCCCTCCCCCTGCCCCCTCCCTGGTATATTTCTCTCTCAGAAGAACTACTTGTAAAAATAAAATAAAAAAATAATTCCCTCGGTGACCGGGGGTGAAAATGTCATATCGAAAGGATATTCAGCCCCCACCCCCCAGTATATTTTGCTATCGAATGAACTATTTGTAACAATAAGATAAATTCCTTTGCTCACTCAGGAGACAATGTAATATACATTTCTACCCCGTTGGTACATTTCACTCTTAGTAGACCATGCATCCATAACAATCTAACAATAGCATAATTTCTTTTGTGCTCGGGAAATTATGTGCATGTAATTCTGAGCAGTGTGTACTAAACTTCACATCGCAGGGATCGCATGTATTGCAATAGGGGAAATCAACACCCAATATCAATGTCTGGATATAATCAAAATCAAGCCATGATATCCCTTGGTTTTACAGAGGGATTCAGAGTTTAATGCTTACTCTTCTATTATTGCCAGAAAGGCATAAACTCATGCACTTTCACAAAGGGTTAGCGTCTTTCTGACTCCGAAGAAACATTTCACCTAGTAACTTTCATATCCCACATTCGATTTAAGCCAATGTTAAGCTATTCATATGAGATGAATTTATACTGAACTGATAGAGTATGAAACATTGGGCTTGCATGCCCCGGAGAAATGAAAGGCAACGCCTCGTTAATTTCATGAAGTGCAAACATGAAATCAAAATGTTATATATTTTCTTGTCTGGAACCAAACAAAAATTCATTACTAGGCGAAAAATTTGTTAGACCGGCCTCATCACCTTGAACTTTCATTGCACTGTGTCATAATAATGAGTCATATCTAAAACTGCAACAACAACAAACAAATGTAAAACTACATTTATATTGCACATAAACATATCAATCAATGCTGAACGTTGAATTCTATTCAAATAAACTACTTGTTATTACTACAATGAAAAGTGAGTGTTGCATTTTATCTCAGCCTTTACTTCACCTCTAGTAAGAACAGAGCCATTATGAAAAGAGTAATCCAGTAGCATTTCTAAATGAATAATTGATTTTAATATATATCTGTTTCAGATGATGTTTGAAGGTTTGCATGGTGGTATGAATAATCACGGTAGAGGTTTACGGTACACCATGTGTAAAGTCCTAGAAGGACTAAGGAAAGTGGATAGAAAATAGAAGTGAAAATAGAAAGGCGAGAAAGTGGAGATTGGAAGGAAGAGTATCTTTCAGAAGTGAGTATAGTCCTGAAAAGGACTGTAAACCAGAAAGTTGTAGATAGGATGAGAGGTTTGAGTAGAAGACTGGATTGAGTTGAAGAGTTGAGTAGAGTTGCAGAGCAGGAGCAGGAGAGTAGACTCGACGTTTCGGACAGGTTGACTGTCCGTCTTCAGGAGTGAGTGTTCGCTATGCGTGCGGCGGTCCTTATAATGGCGTGAGTGCGGACTTGGGGGAAAGCACTGGGCCGGCGGGCTCGGCGGGTTGGCAGGTAGCTGTCGGTGGTGGCGCTCGGTTGCGTGAATTGGCGGGAAACGAGTGGGCGGCGGTTATGCGGACGTCGTGTGGTTGGTGGCGGCGCAGTAGCGGGCGGTGTGTCGGCTGATGAGTGGGTGTATCGATCGGCGGTGAGGATAGCTATTAGTGGTGTCGCTCTGTGTGTGTTGGTCGGCGGTTTCGTCGGCGTAGGTTGTAGCGAGGTGTGGGCGTGGTCGGTGCTTGTGTGGGTGAAGTGGCTAGTTGAGAACGTGTAGTGCTTGTTTGAGTAGGAGTGGTTGGGTGGTTGCAGGTGGTGTTTGGGCTGACGGATGGATGGATAGGTGACGTGTTGGTGGTTGGCGTGCTGGTTGTGGAGTTGGTTGAAGATTGGTCGGAAGTAGAATGGTGAGGAAGGATTGGGTGCCAGATGCTGTTGATGTGAAGGCCTGGGTCTTGGGGTACGGTGTTGTGTTGGTGGATCTCGATGGCTTCTCGGACCCTTCGGGTGTGCCAATGTCGGATGTTGGTGATGAGGTGACTTTTATCCCAGTGAATGCGGTGGAGCTCTTGTTGTGCGTGCTTGACGATGGCTGACTTGTCCCAGTCGCTGCGTCGGTGGTGGGTCTTGTGTTCTTTGAGTCGGGTGTCGTAATCGCGGCCGGTTTCTCCAATGTAGACTTTGCCGCAGTCGCAGGGAATCTTGTAGACGCCTGGTCGTTTGTTGGATGGGTGCTTGTCCTTGTGAGAGTGAAGAGTGGAGTGAAGCTTGTGGCTGGATTGGTGTCTGACGAGGATGTTGGCTGAGCGGAGGATGCGTTGTAGTCGGTGTGATGTCTTGCCGATGTAGGGAAGTACGATGGTGGCGGTAGGCTTGTTATCAGGTTGGGTTCCGGTAGTGATGTTGTTGGTCTTGTGGTAGGAAGTTCGGGTGTTGATTTTCCTTCTTGGGTACTGGTTGATGGAAGTGAGTGCGTGCGTGATGTGCTTGAGTTCTTGCTGGAGATGTGCTTTGTCACTGAGTTGGTGGGCTCGTCTGATAAGTGAGTTGGAGACTGATTGGTGGACTGACGGATGGTGGTGAGATCGGAAATTGAGGTAGCGGTCTGTGTGGGTTGGTTTCCTGTATACTTGGTGCGCGGGGAATCCTGATGGTGTCTTGGTGATGAGTACGTCTAGGAAAGGGATTGAGTTTTCGTGTTGGGTCTCCATGGTGAACTTAATGCTGGGGTGTTGGTTGTTGATGTGGTCGAGGAACTGGTGGAGGTCTGGTGTGCTGTGTGGCCAGATGACGAAGGTGTCGTCGACGTAGCGTAGCCAGAGTGAAGGAGACTTGTAGGCGGACTTGAGTGCTTGGTGCTCGAGGTGTTCCATGAAGATGTTGGCGATGATTGGTGAGAGTGGAGATCCCATGGCTGCTCCTTGAAGTTGTTTGTAGAAGTCGTTGCGCCATTTGAAGGAGTTTGAGTGGAGGCAGGTGAGAAGGAGGTCGTGGATCTGGTCAGGTGTGAGCTTGGTCCTAGATTCGAGGTCTGGGTCTGAGATGAGGCGTTGTTTAATGATGTCGCATGCTTGGTCTACAGGAACGCTGGTGAATAGAGAGGTGACATCGAAGCTGACGAGCGTGTCGGATGGCTGGATCTTGGTTTTGGAGAGGATGTCGATGAAGTGCTTGGAGTTGGTGACGTGGTGCTGGGTTTGGCCTACGAGTGGTTGTAGAATGTTGGCGAGATGACGTGCAGTGTTGTAGCAGGATGATCCTCGGGTAGAGATGATAGGGCGGAGAGGGATGAGTGGCTTGTGAATCTTGGGCTGTCCAAAGAGGATGGGTGATTTGGCTGACGAAGATCTGAGTTGGAAGTAGAGTGCCTTGGGTAGTGCGTCGGATCTGTGTAGGGTCAACAGTTGTTGGTTGATCTTCCTTTCGTTGGCTAGGGTTGGGTCCCTCTTAAGTTTGGAGTAGGTTTCCTTATCTTTGAGTAGGTCGCAGATCTTATCTTCGTATGCATCTTGGTCCATGACGACGGTGGCGTTTCCCTTGTCTGCTTGTAGGATGTGGATGGATTGGTTCTTGCGGAGGTCTTGAATGGCGGAACGTTCTACTTTAGATAGGTTGGGTTTGGGTGGCTTATATATACCTCATTATTATTGACCTCACCCGAGAACGCATCGTATACACACGCCACCAACTCCACGATCTCAACACCGCTATCTCTGCATCTCAGTCTAAGATCAACCAACAACTCAATCCTGATGACCTCAGCAAAGTACAGTCCTTCAACGACCACACCGCCCAGCTCGCCTTTCAGACCACCAAACTCAAGCAGATTAGGAAGTTCGACCAACTACGTCCACGCAAGCCGATCCGCACCAACGACCCTCCCATTAAGGACACAGTAGTCAACCTCAGTCAGCACAGACTCTCCCAAGCCGAACACCAGGTTCTATCCCTAGGACTCAACTTCGCCGTAGCTCCCAAGAAGATACCGTTTTCCGACATTGTGCAACAAGTAGAACCCAAGCTTCGTTTCCTCATGCATTATAAGGACCGCCGCACGCATAGCGAACACTCACTCCTGAAGACGGACAGTCAACCTGTCCGAAACGTCGAGTCTACTCTCCTGCTCCTGCTCTGCAACTCTACTCAACTCTTCAACTCAATCCAGTCTTCTACTCAAACCTCTCATCCTATCTACAACTTTCTGGTTTACAGTCCTTTTCAGGACTATACTCACTTCTGAAAGATACTCTTCCTTCCAATCTCCACTTTCTCGCCTTTCTATTTTCACTTCTATTTTCTATCCACTTTCCTTAGTCCTTCTAGGACTTTACACATGGTGTACCGTAAACCTCTACCGTGATATATCTGTTTGTTCATATTCAATATCAATTCAGTTTTTTGTTTCATATTTCAAATGTATCTAACATTTGCAATGATTTCACAAATTAAAATGGTACAAATAAACGTGGAAATATTGAGGCCCCTATGCTTATGAGTTATAGGCCCCTTAGAGTAGTTAATTTTATAATAGTCTTTAAAAAGAATAGAGGGAACAAGCAATAAATGCCAATCACATGAAATACAATTTGTATTCCAAAATTCCAAAACCATAAACCCAAACCAGCAAATACTGTAAAAATGCTTTCATTTCCTATTATTCAATTTCTCACACACATTTAATCCCTAACAAATTATGAAAGAGATTTAAGACATAAAAGAGAAATAGAGATTTTTAGCTTTAAAATATATTTTTATGACAACAATTAATCTCCCACTAATTCCATTTCAGCTCTGGAAGCAAGAAAGTAGTCATAATAAAAACTTATAATGGAGCTTTCACCTGTCTATATCTCCTTCCTTAACACTTTCCACATTTGCTTTAAATCAAAGTGTCAATTTAGGAGACATCATTTCAAAACAAAATTATGTTTACAGGGATAATTGGAATGTTTCGCTCTGCATGAATGCCAGTTTGGTAGTCAGACACCCAGATAGATGGAATTACAGATTGGTGTTGACAGCCCTAGGAATGCCTGGTATGTTACATTTCAAGTTCAACTTCAGTCAACATTGGATATTGTGATCATGACCTAAATTTCAGATTCAATTGTTAAAGTTTTGGTATGGGGTCATGAATTTGGTTCAAATGAGCATGTTGGAAGCATATGCGATACTGCAATATTCAGTGATCGTTGTCGTGGTTGAAATCGAGTCTAAAGTTATGAAATTGTAAATAATACACTTTTGATGTTGTATAGCTCCCTCTCAAGGTCATGATATTAATTAAGCTATAAAACAGTGTTTCTTGACTAAAATCGACTGATTTGCTATTACCATTTGGAAATTATATATCACAACTACATATTCTGAGATGTTCATGGTAGCAGATACTATTGTACGGCCGTAGGCGCTATTTGAAATTTATCAAAATTTACTGGGACCACCGGTCAATTTTTATATTCAATTTTTCTCGAAAGCAGAAGTGTTCTAGGGGCTAAATTTTCCAGTGCTTATAATTCATCCACAGAGGCATCCAAATATATCAAAATTGTAAAGAATCACTATTCACCAAATTTTCAAAATTGCCCAAAACTTTGTATTACCTTTAACCAATTGCCTACGGGAACCGGTTGGTCTCTATATTAAGCCTATGGGAATTGGAAAAATTCAGCAGTCTAAAGGTTAATTTTTAATCTATTGAGAGCCAGAAGGGCGTAATCTCACTACTTTAATGCTGGGTGAACACCTTTTGTGTCTCGATCTCAACAGAAGATTTATCTGTCTGCGAAACCAAGTTTGCAATACAGTCAGTCAACAAAGAATATTTTAGAAGACAAACTTTTAAATTATGATTTCTTATTGTTCTGATACGAACAGTTTATGATAGGATTAATTTGTGATAATAAATTTTGAATTCTGAGAGATATATATACTTTTCTTATTACAAAATCTTGTATATTCGGGTAAAGTCTGTTATATCTTATTGCAGCATAGAAGGGTTACAGCGATACTAATTTAACTGATCAATGTTCTGCCCTAGTGTACTTATGTATTTGTAAAGTGACGATAATTGTATGGAGAAGCTATCTGTGCAAGAACCTATCTGTGCAAGAACCTGTACAGGCCCTTGCTTCAACAGATATGCCTTCATCAGCTCGGGATTGCCAAATAGTCCACTATTTCTGATATGGGAAATAAGCCTGAAGTTACAAATCGCGACCTCATCAGCTCGAGATATTTTGCTCAGCGTATAGTGCGAGTCTTCGGGCTGGTAAAGGCGCAGAAGACAAATAGCGGGATATTTTGCCGAACAGCAGGATATTTTGCAAACTAGCCAAAGATATCTATTTCATGATCGGGCTAATATCCAGGATCAGAAATAACAGGCTATTTGGCAAATCTCGAGCTGATGATGACAAGCCTATAGACATGGATCAATAGCCTGCCCTTGAGCCTTTACTTGGAAATCTTTTCAAATTGTTTTCATTTTGAAATTCATCGAAAATTTGCAGAGCATTGAAAAAAAATTCACATATGTCTTTTGATACAAGTAGAACACCACAGCCCTGTTTCATAAAATGAGTTACCAATAACAAATGCTAAAATAGTTATGATAATTTTCCCTCGGCTAATCACATGCCATGATTTCAGTAGCTTGTAACAGTACTGTAGCTTGTTTAAATATAGATATTACAAGTTTTATGAAAGAAGGCCCAGACCATATTGAATAGGTTTCTTTCATCTTCATTGTCTTTGACCTCCTTTGAATGCTGTTAATAGTCTGCCCTTTCAATCATAAATGGCAAGGAAATTCCCTTGGAAACAAGATCTGTGATTAAAGATGTGGCTAACCACTTTATCTCTCCTCCATGCCCTTTTCAGGTAAGCCAATTTCATATTCTTTTTTTTTTTTTGTGGGGGGGGGGGGGTAGTCATCCTCTGCAATCATTCTTATCTTTCATACACGTTTCATTGAGGGCGTGGTTTCGTAGGCGACGTCACATATATTTCTAAAGCCACAGGCCTACGTGCAACAATATGGTGAGAGTGGTGTGGCTTGGCAGAGTTGCCAATTTGAATGGTTTTGCATGGGAAGAGCATTCAGTGATCTCAGTGAGTATTAGACAAAGTCAATGATACCAATGACAGGGGCTAAGGGGTGACTGGCAAATAAAATAAGTACAACACAATCCCAACTATTTAAAAAAAACATCAACCCTATATGCCAACATAAAACTATGTAATGTTCCAATCGCTCTCAAAATGTCATCTCTCATACGTCAAATGTCCAAGTGATAAAAAGTACAGCTGTTTATCTCGATGGAGATGCCAAGAATTAGACTGAGAATTCACAGACTCTTGAAATATTCTTTCTTTTCTTTAATGGTTTAACCTGTTTATCGGTGACTGACAGATATGAAAGATTGAGAATGGAGGAAGGAAGACCCAAAAGACAGAAGGCCAGATAACAAACATAAAAGAAAATGGCATCAAATATCTTGAACTGGGGACAATAAAATATGCATGTTAATTATGAGTAACAGCAAAGGAAATGCGTACTGAGAATTAATACCCACTCAGCTCAGCAGAAATTAGATCATACTGTACCATGGTTTTCAAACTTTTCAAAAGTTACTTTTCTACAAGGCTCATTCTATTTTACATCAAACATTGTGCTGATCATGCCCCTATTATTTAGTCAAGAGCATAAAAGTATTTCAATTGATGACATTTATTGAACAATTAATGCCAAAACCTTTTGTGTGTCTCTCATGCTATTGCTACTTCATACATAGTTGTGCTTAAAACGCTCGAAACTACTTTTAAAAGATCAAGCTAAAGCAATTTTCAAATGGCCAATTATGCAACTCCTAATGAAACGTGCGAACATGACAATGATGTATTACGTATTCCGAACATGATTTCTATATTACAGATGTACAAAGTGTATCAAAATTGCCTCAAGTTGATTTTTCTGAATAGTTACGATCATGAGTTAGATGGAAATCTTAATTCAAAATGCATATCAAGTTGTAAACCAGTTCAAAGTCTTAATTATGCACACCTGTACAGTTGAGAAAGAAATACAGAAATCCTTTGACATTGAGCAGGGTATGAACTCTTTTATCCTCGTCACATGACAAATCACATGACACTCGAAAGAGAGCTATTCCGAGGTAATCCCCGTTATCCTGTCTTTATTTCAAGATCAGCATGTCAACTTCTCAATATAATATGAACAGGAGCTGTCCTCATCAGACTGAAGTTGCAAAAAAAAACTCTTTTTTAACTAGCCCGATCTCAAATTAGCCAGCTAATTTGCGTCCTCATCAGCCTGCAGTCGCATATGGCGGGCTATTTGCAGAAAATACCCAGAAAAATTTTGATCTTGTTTTAAAAAAAGCAGACTATTTGGGAAATAGCAGGCTAATTTGCGCCAATCTGAGCTAGTTTGTGATGAGCGTAAGTATCAGTCTGGTGAAGATGCAATTTCGAGCTTCGGGAAAAGATACAGAGTCTGCAAATAGCGGGTTATTTTGAAACTGTGGTCCGATGAAAACAGGCCTATAAGGTGACTGACTGATATGTAAAGCCTGACCTCCAGAAACTTTTAGATTCCTGCCTTCACCAGGTCCATGCTTCACCTACATTTCAGATGTCCGTGAAAAAGAACAATTACTAAAACAAGACGTTTGACATTCAACTATCTTATCCAACACCAGACAGGTGTAGCCCGATTCTAGGCAAAATTAAAGGGGAAATCCACCTATGATATTAAGTTGGTTTTAATAGAAGCAGTATAGTTAGCAGTGTAAGTTTGAGCAAAAAGCCTATTAAAAATCAGAAAGCTATGAATGTTTGAAGATGCGGTCGTTCAAACACAATTTACCAATTCTGTTTGCCATGTACCGGTACTATAAAAAGCTTCAAGAAGATAATCTTTAAAAAATTGCATATGTTTGAAAGAATAATACATAAATTAAATGGTTTTCCTTTTTTTTTAATGTTGTTTGTTGTTTTTTGGTTGAGTTATGACTCAACCAAAATTCATGTCATCAAACAATAAAATCTTACTCAGCTCTTTGCAGCCTACAGATCACATCATTTTCTGCAGGTCAGCGTAAGCATATCACAGACTAAAAACCAAGCAAAAGCAGAATTTTGAACTTGATTTGATTTACATGTAGTACTCTGGATGCACATGCTTACCAATATCCCTTTCATCATCCTAAAGTCAGCGAGTCAAAAACATAACTTCAGCTGAAGTCACCAATTAACTGTTTTGAAATCTAATATTCTGCCTTTAACACCGACCAGTAATCAGATCATGGCAACCAAAGCCCTGGGGCAGGGCTCGCCCTGGGATGACTAAGATATCTTAAAGGGGAAATATCACATAAATAGCAATTAAAAACACTTTCAACAAAATAGCTCTAGGGACATTTTGATAGCCTATTGTGCGTCACTTACTGAACATTGAGAATGTTGTGACCTCATTATCCGAATGTAAATCCAATTTATTTTCATAATTGGATTTGCTGAAGAAAATACTTCATTTTTTTTATTTTTTCAAAGTGCATTAGTTCCTCTACTCTCATCCCTACATCTCCTATTTGTAATTTTGAATGATTATCATACTTCACCGCACATACATACCAAAAAGTTACAAATGAAAAAGTATTGCAAATCTCTGGTAAACCATTTTTAATTTAAACCATTCTAGACATCATGACATAACCTTGGCCAGGTTCTTAACCTTTTAAAAAATTGATATTCCGTTTATATTTTCTCAGCACCAATTTTGCTTG